GAAGATTTTTTCTTTGTCTTTGGTTTTTGGCAATTTAAATATGACATACTTAAGTGTGCTACTTATTTATCTGGTTATTTATTTATTGTGTTTATCCTGTCTAGTGTTCTCTGAGGTTCCTGGTTCTGTGATTTGGTATCTGTCGTTAAGAAAATCTTCAGCCATTATTGCTTCAAAGATTTTTCCTGCTCAGATCTCCTTTCATCTCTTTCTGGTATTCTGATGATGCATAAGTTACACTTTTTGGAATTGTCCCAAAGTTCTTGGATGCTTTGATCTTTATTATTTTTTTCATTTCATTTTTCTCTTTGCTTTGCAATTTGGGGAGTTTCTGCTGACCTATATTCAAACTCACTGATTCTTTCCTTGGCCTTGTTGAATCTATTGATGAGACCATCAGAGACATTCATTATTTCTGTTATGGTGTTTTTGAGTTCTAGTGTGTTTCTTTTGGACTTTTTCTTAGAACTTTCATCGCTTCTTGAACCATGTCTACTTTTCCTAGTTGAACCCTTGGTATGTAGTAATAGCTATTTCAAGTTCTCATGTTTATAATTTCAACAAACTCTGTCATACGTGAGCCTGGTTCTGATGATTGCTTTGTCTCTTCTTCTTTTTTGGTATGCCTTGTAATTTTCTGTTGAAAACTGGTCATATCATATCAGGTTATAGAAACTGAGGTGAACAGACCTTCACTCTGAGGATTCAATAATGTATTAATCAGGCTAAGGTGTGGGCTATGCTGAGTACTGTATCTATAGGTACCAGTGGCTCCAGATTCTTCTTGTTTCCTTGTGTTTGGCTCTTCTCTTGAACTGAGCTCCCCTAAGTATTCACTGGGCTTCCCTGGGGCTCAGACGGTAAAGAATTTGCCTGCAGTGCAGGAGGCCCGGGCTTGATATCTGGGTTGGCAAGAGCCCCTGAGGAAGGTAATGGCAACCTGTCAAGAAGCATTTAACAGGAGGCTTCCTGTGTGCTGTTTTGGATCTGTCAGGAATCCCCAGTTCCTTATTAATTCCTGAATATTCAGGAATTAAGAGGCAAGCCCTTCCCGGGGCTGAGGAATCCAGGCATCTCCTTTGTTAGTTTTTCAATACGGTGATAAGTACCCTCTTCCTTCTTATGAACCTTACGGTAAAAAGTGATCGTTTACAACCCTCTCTCTTTAATATGAATCGCCTTATGTTTTGTAAGTCTGGAATTTTAATCTTTATCTTTGCTGAGAATAACTACCTTGTAAGACAGTATATATGCCCACACCATGTTGATTAAAACACTTTTCCTCCATCAGAGCTTGGGTCCCCGTGTCTTTCTTTCTTTCTTTCTTCCTCTTTCTCTCTCTCTCTCTCTATTTCTGGCTGATTCCCTGGAGTGTGAAAGCCGGCTTCGTAACCCAGGGAATATTAGCCTCTTTCCTTCTTTCACTCTCTTATCGTTGACTCTGGACCACCAGGTTCCGGTCCAATAAAGGACCAACAGCAACCCACTTCAGTATTCTTGCCTGGAGAATACCACTTATCAGAAAGAGCCTGGGTCTTGCAGTTCTTTCAGTCATGTCCTCAAATAATATATTGGATTCTTGATGGTGATAAGCTATGGGGGATAGGGCTCTGCCAATCCTTTAAATCTCCTTTTTTATTTTAAAAATATTCTTCCTTTCCACCTTCTATTTCTCTTAAGGCATTATGTGCTGCATTTATGTGGCTTATGTTTCCTCATATTAAATCTTCATTCCTGAAATGTACCTTTCTTTTATTTCCTTTTTGAGCACTCATCCCAAATTTCTAAGTTGTTTCTAATTCCGATTTAGGTTGTCATAGGCTGCTTTGAATCACATTAGGGGTTTCAGCTGGTAGGTTAAAATTTTGGTATCTGTTGTAGGCATGTCTTTTGGAGTGTCACTGCCAATAAGGATATCAATCTATTTTTACTTTATCATTGAAGTATAGCTGATTTACAACATTGTCTTAATTATTGCTATAGAGCAAAGTGCTAATCTTTTTCTTATAATAGCTTCGTATGAGATTGCCACCAATATATTCGGTTGCTAATTTTTGTGTAATTAGCAAAATTTGTGCAGAACAAAAATTAGCAACAAAATTTATTGGTGGCAATCCCATACGAAGCTATTACAAGAAAAAAAGAGAATTTATAAAGAAGTATGGGTTGGAATAGTTGTTTTTTTTTTTTTTTTAACTCCATAGAGTTTTCTTGTCTTTAAAAAAAGATTTATTTTATTTTGGCTGTGCCGGGTCTTTGCTGCTGCACGTAGATTTCCTCTGATTGCAGTGAGCAGGGTCTATTGTTTTCATTGCAGCGGCTTCTCTTGTAGAGGATCACAGGCTTCGTCAGTTGTTGCAACATGTGGGCTCAGTGGTTGTGGCTCGTGGGTTCTAGAGTATAGGCTCAGTAGTTGTGGCGCACAGGATTAGTTGCTCCATTATGTGGGATCTTCCTGGACTAGGGATCACACCTGTGTCCCTTTCATTGCAAGGTGGATTCCTAACCACCGAACCACCGGGGAAGCCCCCACAGAGCGTCCTTTAATGCTTTCATATAGCATTCAAACTTGATGGCTAGATTCCTTTTCTATTTTTACTTGGACCATCCCTTTTCTTCTTCACTATAACCCTTACTGTGAGTAATTTTGATCCTATTCACACAGGGCCCTGTCCTGGGAGGGAGATTTGGTTGATCAGTGTTAGGAGCTCACAGGGTCTGATGATTGTAGCTCTTTGAACCTTAACTATAAATCTTCATGCTCACCTGATGTTGGATTGGGCAAACCCTTTCCCATTTTGAATTGCTTTTGTGCTTTGATCCAAGGCACTTTCCGGTGGATATCTGTTGGCAATACTAGGACTCTTCTCTTCCTGGATCTGACAGATATCTGCTTGTTTCTTTCCAATTCCTTCCACAGATATTGATATCACACCAGTCTTGGGGGTCTTGGGAGACTGTCATTCCCATTTTGAAATTTATGCGTTTATCACATTAATTCTGTTTGTTGCAAATACAGTCCTTGAGGTTTTTGGTTTTGCTATCTAGTTGCTCAGATATGTGGGAATTCTGAGAAATTCAGAAACATGTAATTTCAGAGATGTACCACCATTTTCCCGGAATCCCCTTTCTCCTTTGTTGTTGTTCAATCGCTAAGTCATGTCCGACTCTTTGTGACCCCATGGACTGCAGCACACCAGGCTCCTCTGCCCTCTACTATCTCCTGGAATTTGCTCAAATTCATATCCATTGAGTCAGTGATGCCATCTAACCATCTCATCCTCCACTGCCCCCCTTCCCTTTTGCCTTCAATCTTTCCCAGCATCAGGGTCTTTTCCAATGAGTTGACTCTTCACATCAAGTGGTCAAAGATGATTCAGCTTCAGCATCAGTCATTCCAATGAATATTCAGGGTTTATTTCCTTGAGGACTGACTGGTTTGATTCTTTCTCCTTATATCCTTGCTAATCAGGAAAAGGTCAAACATTGCCATGTCCTTGAGTCGAACATCTTTCTCTCACAGAATTGTGCTATCACTTTCCTCAAAAACCTTCAGGGTCTCCTTCTTGCTCCCAGATTCAGTTATAAAATTCCTTAACATAGCATGCTGACATTGAACTCCTGCTGGCTACCTCCCTATCCAGCCATGGCCCCCACCAAATCCTTGTACAAATGTTTTACAAATGCTCTAGAGTCTTCCACTTACTCACTGTGTTACAGACACGAGGTTTTTCATATCCCTGGGCTTTTTCCTGCACTGTTTTCTAAACTGGGAACACCCTTCCACTCTTTTTCCCTCATCCTGCTCAGCTCAAAACATCAACCCTTCTGCCAACTTTCTTTAAATCACCTAGGCAGGATGAATCATTGATTTTGGCACAAAGCAGTTAAGTAATTAAAAGCACAGACTGTCTCTGTTAATCCAGCTCCATCACTATATGGATGGGGATTAGAATGCTGCCTCACTTATTGGTTATTTTTGAGGCTTTATTGAGACAATCTGTGTGAAGGGTTTAGCACATAATAGATGCTCAGTAACTGAAAGCCATTATTAACGTCTCTCTCTTTCACTAAATTACGTCTTAGGAGATGCAGACTTCCTCCTGCAAAATGATACCATCCGGAGGGGCCGGCAAGTTGCATTGCCTGTATTAGACATTCAACTAATATTTGTTGATGTTATTTTTAACCATGCAACAGGGGGAAATACCTGGCAAGTTTAGGGGGAAGGGAATTTATCTGAAAAAAGAGGCAAGTGTTACCTTCCCTTACAGGAAATAGCAAAAAACATGGCCATTGGATGAATCTAGAACTAAATTCAAATGCTGACTCTTGCACCTGTAACCTGTATGATGCAAATCTGTGTCTAATAGAGTGTTAAGATCTCCAGGCTGTGGAATCTGGTTTGAATCTAGGCTGTAACATTTTTTAACTGTGAGATGTTAGGCAACTCTATTCACTACCCTGAGCCTCAGTTTTCTCCTTTTTAAGTGGGGATAATAATAGTACCTACCCCATAGGGTTGTCATGAGAATTAACTGTGTTGGTATATGTAAAGAATTTGGATCAGGGAATGGCCACATATATTTGATTGTAGTATTATGAAAGTGCCAATTTTGCTGACCCTGAAAGCTAGGATATTCTATCTATGAACAATAAAGACGCAGTTAACAAAGGGACCCACTGATGGTGATGGAGGGATTTATACTTACTTTCTGCATTCATGGGTGCCATGTCAAATACGAGGGAACCCTATGTTGATTTTTGTTGTTGTTTCTATTGAGATTGGGAAAAAGCTCTTGCCTTGGGAGAGTAATGAGGTTATTATGCAGAGTTATACGACCAAAACAGACCCTGCTATCATCAAATATTTGGCTATGAATCCGAGATCCTGTTATTTCAAATTCCGATCCCTTGAAAAGGTCAGTGGCTGGCTCCAGGTGAGGGCCCATCAGCTCTCAGAGACATTTCATCTGATAACTCAGTCCTTTTATATTTACCTTGAAGAAGGAAGCAAGCTTTGTATTGCCGTGATAAATAGAAGAACGATAAATGCACAGACCAAGTTTGATTTGAATACTTCATCCCTCATTTGAGAATACTGTAATTAAAAAAAAAGGGAGAATGAATTACATTGCAGCAGCATTGGTCTCTTGGAAAAGTTAAGTTTTTACCAGTGTTTGGAGTCAGGGGGAAACATCAAGAAAAGATAAGGCATATATATGCATATGTATATATATTTGACATTAAGAGGCATCCATATGTTAATAAATCTTTGCAGGCATTACCTCCATCCCTCCCACCAGCCTTCCAGTGAGAGCCCAGGGGTGAATATGATTTCCTTTATAGCAAAAGGGAATGGGAGAGGGACTTTGCATGAGTTTATAAATCAGTTCTCCTCCTTCCTCTGAACTCACATGATCTGAACAAAACAGAAGAGCACACATCCATATACGTAGCAAATCAAATTCACATGTACTTTCTTCATGAGTAAACGTTAAGTCATTTAAGGATCTTGCTCTTGGGGACACAAGGAAATTTTTGACCATAGGGTCCTTCTGCCTCCCTTTTTCATGAAAACTATTGAAAAATAAATTCATGGAGTCTTAGAATAGAAAATGGCCAAGAAAATCTCCAGCAAGGGCAGTCCTTTCATTTTGTACAAGAGAAACCAAGACTGATGGACCAATATGCTTGATTGCCCTTCTGTTGTCTGCTCGAGGTGGCCCTGGGGAATGGTGCTAACTTTATTTTGATTATCCAGAGTACTCAGTAATTTCATTGTCCACCCTTAAAAGCTTCTGGAAGGTCAGCACTGAACGTGTATATACTTGTCTTAGTCCCGCCTAGTTTCCTGAACTGTCTTTGAGTCACTAAACTGAGGAATAATCCAATTCTTTCAGAAGGAAGAAAGGATTTTTTAAAACTGAAAAAGATCTTAAAGTTAGCCTACAACCAAGTCCCTCCTTTTGTCTTAATGCCAGAGAGGTCTAGGAACTCACCATAGCTCACATAGCACACAACATTTTGAGGAGTGGGAACAGAAAGCTAAGTCTGACTGCAATGTCTTTGATTCCCAATTTGAATTTCACCATGATTTTATGAAGGAAGCTAGTAAATAGAGTTCTCATGTTCTATGTCCCTAATACCAGGAGAAAACTTGCTTGGGTCAACGAAATAATAAAATCAGTCCAACTTGTTGTTGGGAGTCCAATCCCTGGTAACATGATTTTTATTCTCTTGCCTACTCCTTGGTATGGTCTGGGTTTTAGACTGAACTTGCTGCTCAGTGTCATGGCTGTGATTTGGAGAGTGGAAATGACCTGCAGTTAGTGAACTCCATGGTGCAGGCACCAGTGCAGCTCAGAAACTGCACATTCATTGCTGTCAGAGGGCAATGTTTTTTCTACTCACTGGTGCTGAGTCCTCTGCCTGTTTGCTGACAACCTGCTCCATACCTAGAGGTGAATGTGTCCCTGAAAAATCACGAAGCATCTCCACTCTTGATAAGATGATAGAAAATTCATGTTACTGACAGTTTTCCAGAGCACTGCTTAAGAAAGGGCACCATCAGAGAGACCCACACACACCTGCTTCAAAATAAGCATTAGTCACAAAGCAGTTAATTCAAAGAATAATAAATGTCTGAATTCTTTCTAACAACCAATTGCACAAGACCTAATTATTCTTTGTTGACTGATTTCAAACCAACTTGATTACATAGATTTGATAATGAGATTTTAAGAACAATGATAATAATTTTTCTTGTGTATAATCCCCCATAATGGCAGAAAGCAGAGGAACTAAAGAGACTCTTGATGAAGTTGAAAGAGGTGAGTGAAAAAGCTGGCTTAAAACTCAACATTCAAAAAGTTAAGATCATGGCATCTGGTCCCATCACTTCATGGCAAACAGGTGGGAAAAAAATGGAAACAGTGACAAAATTTATCTTCTTGGGCTCCAAAATCACTGTGGACAATGACTGGAGCCATTAAATTAAGACTCTTGCTCCTTGGAAGAAAAGCTATGGCAAACCTAGACAGCATATTAAAAAGCAGAGACATCACTTTGCTGACAAAGGTCCATATAGTCAAAGCTATGGTTTTTCCAGTAGTCATGTACAGTTGAGAGAGTTGGGCCATAAAGAATTGATGCTTTCAAACTAGTGCTAAAGAAGACTCCTGAGAGTTCCTTGGACTGCAAGGAAATCAAACCAGTCAATCTTAAAGGAAACCAACCCTTGACTATTCATTAGAAGGACTGATGCTGAAGCTGGAGCTCCAAAACTTTGGCTACCTGATGTGAAGAGCTGACTCACTGAAAAAGACCCTGATGCTGGGAAGATCGGGGGCAGGAAGAGAAGAGGGCAGCAGAGGATGAGATGGTTGGATGGCATCACTGACTCAATGAACATGAGTTTGAGCAAGCTCATTTTCTTCAAATGGCAAGTTGGTTGATGATAAAGTAGGAGGACTTACTTGGCCCCCAGAGCCTCCACCCTGTCAGTGTTTCACAGTGAACAAAGCCAATTCCTTTTAACCTCAGTTTTCTTATCTGTCAAATGGGGAAATGAATACAATTCATAGGTTTTGCAAAGCTGTTCCATTTTACTGTATTTTGTTATGCTAGAATTTAATAATAACTGCTATCATTTTCATGTTTGAACTCCAGTGCTTAGCACAGGTCACAGAAAGGAAGAAACTTATAAGATTTGTGAAGATGATACCAATTAAATATAAAATATTGGTTTCATAATGGAGTGCATTGTTACTTTGGAAATGCAAAGGAGACAGAACTGTGGAAGGAACATCCCTAATTGGCTTAGAATGAGAGGGTGCTGAGACTGAGTGGTGATTCATTTCACTTCCTCTTGACTTGTGAAGATCTGAACGCTCTGGTTCACAGCTATATTAAGTTACACGTATTCTCCTTCCTGCCATAGTTAGACTCTTTATCTTGCCTCTTCTCTGTCCTCACTTGGCCCCATTTACTCTTTTATGTCTTTGTGATGAGCATGGCATAATTTAGAGCTTGACTACCAGGATTTGAATCCAAGCTTCAACACTTAGGAGCAACGTAACCTTGGACAAATTTACCAAGTTTTCCATGTCACAGTTTCCTCACCCAGAAAAAGGGGACAGTAATAAAAGCTATCTTGTATGGGTTGCTGGGAGGTTGAAATGAGTCGATATACATAAAGTGCTTATAGTCGTGGATATAGCATATGGTAACCTTATATAATTATTTACTATAATCAATGAAGTATACATATTTTATTGCTATACAGTAAGTCCCCTACATATAAATGAGTTCCTTTCCAAGAGCGTGTAAATCCAGTTTGCTCGTGAGTCCAACAAAGTTAATCTAGGTAAGCAACATAATCGCTATATGGTATTATACTGTAATAAGCTTATAGTACTTTTCACAAAAATAGCATGTAAAAAGCAAACAAACACAGAAAATAAAGAATACATTTTCAATCTTCAGTACCCTGAAAAGTACAACAGCTGGCATACAGGGGCTGGCATCGAGTGAACGGACAAGAAGAGTTACTGATGGAGGAGAGAAAGGAGGTGGGAGATGGCAGAGCTGAAGGGTCGTCAGCAGTAGGAGGCAGAGGGCAAGCTGCAGTTCACTCCCACCTGACACTGAAGAACACATGTTTGCATCTTTGAAAGTTCTCAGCATAAACACTCGTATGTATGGGACTTACTGTGTTTGTTACATTTTCCAGCAAATGTTGCTTTCTAGAATACTGTCTTTCATTTTTCTGTACAAAACTGTACCTTGCACTCAGTAGGGTGCCCCAAGATGTTGCTGACTGATGGGTCCATCATGTTAGAAAGGGTTCTTCTAATGGGAATTACAATCTCCTATGTGATCTTTTGTCTTAGGAAAAGACTTTGTCCTTATTCCTTCCTTTGCCTCCTAAAAGATCCTTCACCAAACGGGTAGAATTGCCCCTTCTCCGTGGACCTTTGGAAAAAGTGTCCTTGGAAATGACCACTGGGCCCTTATAATTCACCGAGTCCTTGATCTATAAGAGGACTTGCCCATTGCATACATTAAAAATGAGGAACTTGAGAATCAGAGATGGGAAAGAACAGGTCAAAGTCAATCAAGTGGTTGGTGGCAAAGTTCAGACAATAAGACACATCTCCTGGCTCCTAGTGGAGTTTTTGCTCCACTACACCATTGTCTTTGGACAGGAAATGGCCTGAAGACAGTAATTGAGCTAACTGTGGATGAGATTAATGCCCATTAAAAAGGCCACAATACTTGGAACAAATTACAAATGCTTCCTTTGAGAGCTTAGATCAGAATTTTGATTATAGGTAGCCCTTTGTATCCAGGGGTTCCACACCAGCAGATTCAAACAACCACAAATCAAAAATATTCATGAAAAAAAAAAATTTCAGAAAGTTTCCCAAAGCAAAACTTGAATTTGCTACTCACTGGCAATTATTTACATAGTATTTACACTGTATCTGCAACTATTAACATAGCATTGAATTGTACGTAATTAGAGATGAGTTGAAGTATATGAGAGGATGCGTGTAGATTATGTGCAAATACTACGTCATTGTATGATCTTGGTATCTATGGTCCTGGAATCAATGCCCTGCTGATAGAAAGGGACAACTACTATTACTTTTCAATGTGTAGGGCTTTGGTTGATTCAGGAAAGGGTCAGTTCAGAAAAGAGCCAAAATCTAGTGTAACAAATTGAATGATGATGAGTAGGCAATAGGCTATGTGCTTCTTGTGGATGATCTCATTTAGTTATCATATCAACATTTTTAAGAAGATTTGTATTTATCATATCCCCATTTTGCAGATAATGAAACTGAAAATTAGAATTATTGAGTAACACAAGCATGACCTCACAGATTGTAAAGAGGGACTCTAGACTGTTTGACCCCAAAGTTCAAGGTCTCATCGGCCATATTACGTCGGGAAAGAAAGTAAGTGAAGTCGCTCAGTCGTGTCTGACTCTTTGCGACCCCATTGACTGTAGCCCACCAGGCTCCTCCATCCACGGGATTTTCTAGGCAAGAGTACTGAAGTGGGTTGCCATTTCCTTCTCCAGGGGATCTTCCC